TTTATTAAACGTACGATACAAATAATACCAGGTCTATCACTCATTCATGTGCGGTCTTTGTTTATTAGACAGGATAAGGAACACCAACAGGAAACACAACATACAGAAATAAACTAACAATAAATCTATGTCAATCACCTTTGTTTATTTTGGAATACTGGCACAGGAAAACAACACACACTCAATGTCTCAGAAAAGCAGGGCGGCTTCAATTAGAGTATTTTCAAGGAACCAAATGTTTCTAATTTTGAAATGATACATTGTATCAAAGTAGGGCTGCGGCTTCAAATAGACATGCGGCCACAATTAGATATTTTACGGTATGCATCATTTTAGTTTATATTCTTGCTGTCAGATTTATAATGCATAATATTATGACAGTTTTTGAGGATAAACATGTGTATATAGGTCAGGGGCTTCACAAATGCATTTAACAGTAGACCATCATCCTGTAACAACATACCCTAAAATTAATAAAAAGGCAGTGTGAAGCGCTGCAGCGAGACCAGCGTAGGCAGTCAAGAATGCAGAGAGTAGACTGCCAATTTGGGCTTATAGCAGGCCATATGGCCGGCGACCGGCTCTTAACAAAACCCCTGTAGGTACTGTAAAATACTTTATTTTAGCTGAAAAGACTTTTTGGGTGTTTTATATGGAATTTATTTTCACTGATTTTTGACAAGTTGAATGTAAAACATAGGTTAATTAAAAGGTGTATTCACAGGATTTTATTTTCACAGAATCATTCCTTCAGCGAAAATAGCAAAAATTAAGTCCAAGCATGGAAGGTACTAACCGAAGGAGCCACGACACCATCGCGACTATCGCTTCCGAACATGCTCTGAATATTGCTGAATGTTCGAGATTGGCATAACCCATTGTACGAAGGTGCTAAAAGCTAACAAGAACAATGTTTGTGAACAAACATTGACAAATGATCGTGGGGCAAAGCTAAAACAATAGCGTCGTGGCTCCTTCCGTTAGTACCTTCCATGGTCCAAGCAAGAATAAAGTATTTTACAGTAATACAGATTTACTAGATAGGTAGTTTATGGGTTTACGTAAATGACAAAGGTGAAAGGTCATGGTGAAAATCGGCAATATTTTCAATAGATCAGTATACAACAAATGCGTAATAGAGCAAATGTGACAATTCTGTTAAAAAGCAACATGGGCTTCAATAAACCCACAGTTTAAAATACCCTTGCATTTTCATGCGTGTACAACCCAAAATGATTAGCGGACAGCTTAATTTGCATAACTCTGCATATCAATTTGCCTACATTTGCATATAATATTCGCAGCCATAAAATGCAATGTGTTTATTCACAAAAAAAAAACAGAAAAAATAATTGCGTTGTATTTTAGAAAATAAACTAGACGGGTTAGGGTTGTCCACAAAACGAAAAAAGTCAAAATTAAATAAAAAAAATTTAAAAATGTTTTATTTTTGCCATGGTACTAAACAGTGTGTTTTGTACAGCTACACACAGCTGGCTACAGAGTTGTCAAATGCAAGAACGAATACTAAGCAAATGGTAAAGAAACGATAAATTGAAAAGAATGTAAAAAGCAAAAATTGAATGTATTTTTTACAAACTCAAGCAGTCACTTTGTTTTAACTGGCTTACTGCATTCAACACCTAAACCCCCAGAATGGACAATGCCCCACCCTACTTGAATGCTACTTAAGTCACAGCACCAACAGCGGCACGTGGCCGCCAACGTCTGTATGAACTTGGTCAAGTAATTATCAGTTTGCTTTTTCTATGCTGTTGACGATTCAATGGAATCTACCAAATGTTGATAATACAGTTAAAATTTTAAATGTTTTCTAAAATTATTTTGTTTAAATTTTTGTATATATATGTATGTATCTTTTTTTATTTTTCCTTCCAACCCTTGTCATTAAAACTACAATAGTTCTAGTGGTGACGATAAATTTAATGATAGAAACATGGACAACTAACTCACTGTTGCTTTGATAACTGCTTGCTAACTTTCAGTAGTCATTGTTAACATCGCTACTCCTATTTTGTAATGATCTGGGAAAAAACCCTGCAAGCTATTTGTAAACCATTTTGTAAACAATGACAACTGCTCATTCATGTACAGTTGTAAGTAAATATTGGTAGTATCATTTTACATCAACCTCAAAAAAAAAAAATGCATTGCTGTTATAAATTTGACAATTGTTGCATTTTAACTAATTACGGAATTCACAAAAATAATTGCTTAGTTTAGTGAACTAATTATGATAATTATGACAAATTGGCTTAGTTTGTTTGATTATCCACGACGACAAATAGACATCCATAATTATGATAAATTATTAAATGGCTGTGGGGTGAGCATCATTGGTAAATGAGGAACAAAATTTTGTGTGGATCGCAATAGGACTCAAGATGCAACACTGTAACCACTGTCCTGTAATTATGACAAGGAGTGTAAAGAGTAGTTCCCTGGATCAATTTGACACCATTAACATGTTTTTATTGACATAAGGACTCATTTTGGACCACATCCAATAATAATGAGACATACTCGAAACAAGTACACTAAGTCTAAGGTCACAGCAAAACTCTGATGGATCACCCATATTGTCCTAGTCCTGAAGTAGATTTCATTACAAAGGTCATTATTTATCACCAGTTAAATCAAGATTTTCAGTGACTAGTATCAAACCAGTAGACAACATAGTTTTTGTAACGATTGACTTTCTGGTAATTACTCACAATTAAGTTTGAAAAAGGTGCTTCAATGGAAATTTACACCATATCTGGCAATGTATACTAAGTAAAGACATGTGATAAGAATAATCAACAACAAGATTTAAAAAAAGATTGTGGCGCATGGCACTAACCATCAGCCACTAAAATTCATGCCAGAGCGAAGGTAACTTAGATTAATTTATTGTTCAAGTTTGCTTCATTTGTTTTAATTGGCCTATAAGAATTTGCATATCTGCAAAGCTCTTCTGTCAAAATAAGAAATCAGTTGAGTAATGTACAACAAATGTAGTTGGTTATAAATTTCAAGGACCCAGGAGTTTTTTGTTATGGGTGTATTGATCTTATGACCCTTGGTTAACTTGCCATAAAGTAAAAGTTGTTTACTACGAATTTTAAGTTTGTTGTTTCATGCAAATAAACGCACAGTATTCTTTTGCATCTACTCCATAACTTTTGATTGATGAACCAGATCATAGAGGCTGTAGGTTCAACGCTCGTGGTCGACTGCACACTCAGCAGTACCAAAAAAAAAAAAAAGAGTACCAGAATTCCAGAAATTAAATTAAACATAGCATACTTTCATAGTCTTTTATCTTAGGATGTTCTTTCGCATCAGTTATTGTACCATAAATTATTGTATATCTACTAAACTCTGTCACATGTTTCACTGTGATCAGTCTTGTAGAACCGACACCTGCTTGTATTCCATATTTAAACCTATACTAACCAGTTGTTGCATAGGTGCTGTATTCCTGACAAAGTTAATACTCTCCTAAGTAAATGACCGATAAAGCACCACAAGGTAGTTGTGGCACAAGTATGGCTTCATCTTTAGTTTAGATGTATCTCAATTTAGCTATGGTGTTATAATTCTCATATGCTTTTTAGTAAAATTTTAGTTGCATCCTAGATTATATTAAATAATGTACTAAAGCAAAAAAAAAATTATTATTGCAAATTATGGCTGATGTGTGAAAATGAAATTAATGTACATAACTTACCGTGTACCAATCAAGCCTGTTCATAGTCCATCTGTCCGCTTGACCATACTTTTGACAGTACTGTACTTCATCTAGGGTACAAGTGACTGGTCATTTTGGCCTGTACTATGGCCTAGTGTACTGACCTTAGGTTAGGGTACCTGTACAAGCTTTCTTTCTTTGATTTATGAGTGCTCATCTTCCTACCAGGACTGATATGATTTTATTGGTTACAAAGTACTATACTTACAGATTACTCTGGGTTGGAACTATTTCATCGTAGGGATGTTTTCTATTTCATGTACTCCTTCTATCCAACTTTTTATAGCTGTGATTTTTTTTTGATGTTTTGTCTAATTATTTTTCCCGCTAATGTGAATTGTTCTAAGCCAAATAAATCTGAACAAATATTTTGTTTTCATTTAATTCAAACATCACTGATTCTACTGAATTACATAATTTCACTGATTTTCCAAGTTGTTCACCGCTTTAACAGAATCGAAGTAGACATAAAAGCCACTACATTTCTCGTTACTCAATTTCACTCCTTGTACGCATGTCAGTCTTTTTTCATTCACGCATAACTTCATTGTTTTATTTCAATTGATTCAATATACCCAATATGGAAACACGAAAAAAGTGTAAACTGTTTATGCTGTAACAGCAGTTGTGACGTCACCAAAGGCAACAGGTTGGACAGATTAAATGCCTTCGTCATTTCCTTCTTATCAATAAATGCAATTATATGCGTATTACTAATTTATTGTTGTCAATAATTTTTTTATAATTTGTTACGTGTTACTGATAGCGAACTTCATGCACGTTTGATTTCATTGACATGGATGAAAGCGTTTGATTCAACTGTTTTGTTGTGTTAGCTCGTCTGAATGACGCAGATTGTTTTCAATAAAAAAAAGTTATAACAAATATATAAAAATTATTGATAATATATTGTTTTGTTTTTAATCAATTTCTCAAATGATGATCACCATTAACACATTTCAAAAGCCTCAAATAGTTGGTTAATTCATAGATGTAGATGTATTAACTAGGAATGTTGACTCATTCCTGTACATATCTGTTTTATAACAATTTCATATTGTCTATGTACAAGGCAAGAAATCAGAAAATGACCCTCGCAGTGATAGGTTCCACCCCTAATAAAAAATAGACTCTACCTTTTGACCCTTTGTGATGTCAAATACAAATCTTCTCATTTGCATATTGCCACCATGTGTATGCATATTGTTATGTTAATGATTAGTCCACGTAGCCAGCTATATAATATCCACAGTCCTCGTCACACCATTCATTCGACCAGGTCCTGAAGCCTAGTGTCTGACATCTGTGAATCTGTCCCAAATTTTTCATTTTTTTCACCATGACTGATCCTGAATGCGCACCCGTACCAAAAAATGTTGGACCAGATCCATATGGCATGCGATCGACTTTTAAGGTGGGTTAAAACTTACATGTTGACTTTTGGTGTTAAATTCTGTCACAGGCTTGTGACAACACTAATGCAAGGTGTGTAACGTGATGTACGCCCAACAGGACCAAATCTGTTTGGGCGAGACAATACTTTAGCACTGAACAATCACGATCGTCAAAATGTCGTGATTAAGTTTCTATACTTAGCTTTGGAATGGTTTACCAGATTGACTACTCTGTTTATATACTGACAGAACTCCATGATCTATATGCTAGTAAGCATTGCTTCTGCAACTCTGTCTCTTTTCTTGTTTGTATGATAATAGTTGTATATAAGCTATGTTGTTTTAGATTACAGCCTAATCTGTACTATAAGAGGTAATTGTGTTTTTGCTCTGGAAATGCTATATTCTTGTACACCAGTTTGCATGTATTATAGTATGATAAAATTTGTCATGTCTTTTTTTGCATTTGTTCTATACTTAATATGCGACAGATACGTGTCTTTGACATTGAGATTGAAATTAACTTGTGTTATAATTTAAATAACAGTAGAATCACTGTTTATCTGGTGCCTGTCAAATTACATTCCAGCATGTCACCAGTCGCCAATATTCAACTGGCCACAGCAAAACTAGATTAGTTTTCAGTCAGCTCAGTAATAAACTGTCACATGAGTATTTGATATGTACATGTGTAAGCCCAAAATTTTGACTACTGTAAAATACTTTATTTCGCTTGGAATTAATTTTCTATATTTTTGCTGAAGGAATGACTCAGTGTGAAAATAAAATCCAACGAATATACCCTTGCTTCTATATTTTACATTCAACTTGTCAGAAATCAGTGAAAATAAATTCCATACAAAACACCCAATAATCCAGCTAAAATAAAGTATTTTACAGTAAATAGGAAGAATAGTATTCTGAATTTGAATAAATATAATTACCTATATATAACTATAAGCAAAATACAACTTCATGCTGTAACAAGTTTCGTGATGTGTAATTAGCAATGCAAATTTTTTTTTTTTTTTTTCCCAAAGTCTACAATTAATTTGTAGAGAGCCTTGTAGCAGTTTTACCCTGCTCTGTCTGGGACATTTATCTGAATTCATTGAAAGTGACGGAGAGGGAGTTTAAAAACTAAACAAAATTTAACGACTTGACTTCACCTGTGATTTTAACTCCCTGGTAGTGATGATACTCAACTATCATGTACCCTGGCCTAGTATGCAGTAAAGATCTGGACATGATAGTAAACAATGTGATTGTGCAAGTCACGCCACATCGTAAAATAATTTAAAAACCGGACCAAGGTACTTGGTGTAAAAGTGGGCCACTTCACAGATGCTATTTCTTAGTATTAATTACTATACCCCATATTTCTTCAATTATCTGCAGTTCTATAAATGCACTGGGTACTGAGAAGTAGGTGCATTTTGTTTCACCTTCATGCTTCTGTTGTAGCAACTAAAAAATTACTTCTTCTCGGGATCTGATCTGTATGTTAATAAAAATGTGGTATAGAGAATTCAGTATTGTAAAATTGTCAATTTTCACTATATCAAGCATTTAATTGGGTTTAACTTTTGCGGATTTGTCGGTGGGAAAAGTTTGTTATGAGTACTCTCTTGTATTAGAGGATTTCAATGTTTGTGTAGCAATTTTTATCTGAGCCAAAGATGAACTCTGACTTTTTGTCTCTTTAAACATGTCTCCTTCATGCTTGTATTTGCCCATGCATGTCTGGGTGTGTAGAACCTTAAAATGCAGTTGACTAGAACTGTTTTGTATTTTGAGATGCTTGCCCCTATTGTACTAACCACATCATCAGTCTTCTCCCCCATTGTCTTTGACTTTCAATTGAATCTTCACAGTCATGGTCCCATAAACGAAAGAATGGACAATTGTTTAAAAGTAAGAAAGGCGAGGTTGCGAGAACGAAATGTATTTGTTAAGTGGGTATTCAGGCAATTTCCATGCACAGATTGTTTGACATAGGCAGAACCCAAACTGTTAAAACTGGTACACGTATACATTTTTAGATACAATCTTACTGATAAAATACATTAAGCAGCAGCAGTCTGCAATAATATATACTACCTGGGTACTGTTAAACTGTGGGAGTACAAATAAGTAGAAAAATATATCTGGTGGTGACTTTTGCACTTTTTGGGAATAGTCAGTTACGTGTTGAGTTATGTATTATTAGACGTATAGTTATTTTAAGGGCTCTAATTTTAGTAGATATGTCTGGTTTCTTTATCAGTGTTTGTAAAGTGTACAATAATCTTAGTCAAGTGATCAAAAAGCAGTTAGAATCTATTGTCGTGTATACAATCATGCCTTCATCAGTTCCAATATCATATTGTTGATGTTGTATCTTTAACTTAAATTTCAATAATATTCCGCATTTTAGGTCAAACTAAATGAAATCCATCCATGGAATTAAATAGTATTCCACAATTGATATTATAAACAGGCTTGAAAACTAATAGACATTTGCTTTGGTTCATCAGTATTCCTTTTTGTCAATAATCTTTGTAGCTGTATTCTGTAGGTTATTTGCTATTGTGTTCTGTCGTTTAGCTAACTTCAGTCACACTATAGCCTATTAGAATCTATTGTCGTGTATACAATCATGCCTTCATCAGTTCCAATATCATATTGTTGATGTTGTATCTTTAACTTAAATTTCAATAATATCCCGCATTTTAGGTCAAACTAAATGAAATCCATCCATGGAATTAAATAGTATTCCACAATTGATATTATAAACAGGCTTGAAAACTAATAGACATTTGCTTTGGTTCATCAGTATTCCTTTTTGTCAATAATCTTTGTAGCTGTATTCTGTAGGTTATTTGCTATTGTGTTCTGTCGTTTAGCTAACTTCAGTCACATTATAGCCTGGCGTTTTTAGCGATTACACTCTTAAAATGTACTCTCTCTCTGGTTGATCAACTGTGCACTATACTTCAAATAACAATCAACGTCATCACTGATTTCCCACAGTTCCATGTGGCAGAATGTGTTGTACTGTAAAAAAAAAAAGTAAAATTTTGTAAATTTATAGCCACGATGTGCTACAGAGTTCTCACAAGTTTGATGAACTTTTGACACAGTCCCTACATGCAGTGCATCATGGGAACAGGAACAAAAATGAAATCAAGTTTTTAACACTTTCAAATGTAGTGCAGTATCCAAACAAAACTAAATCTTAATCTTATTTATAATTTATCTTTTTTTAGCACCATGCCACCAACGTAACTGAACAGACCCATCATGTATCTCGTGCAAAGAGAGGTCAAGTTTTAGGCCAGCGTGGAGGATTTAGAGGTTGTACCATATGGTTTACAGGTAAGAATAGCATTTACTGTACTATTGATCGGCGCTATAACATTTCCATGATTGTTACTAATAATGTTACTAACAAATGGGATTAATGTATTGATTGACTATAAGTTTATAAATTGTGATTTTTTTTAATATTTTGCTTATTCAAGATGTAATTAATCTAGAATAAAGTATCTTCTTACAATGAGGTTTTTGACATTTACAGTATTTATATATATATAGTTTCAATAAAAAAAACAAAACTTTTAAAGTTGGTGGTAGGTTGTTTTTTAGCATATACTATGTGTCATGGTGTAACAACTGTCTCATTGTCAAATATTTACTATTTTAATATTCCACTAGTTTTGTTTTAATATGTACTGCACCAGCTGTAGCAATGTCACTTGTACATGTGTCACTTTTTTGTTACAATGACAACGTGGCAGGCATAAATATGTTCTATTTGTCTCCAATACCAGAGGCTTTACAACTACCTGCAAAAATCAAATATGTCAATTTAAAATAAAACATTTTTTTGATAGTATCTATTACTCTTTGTCACCTACTGTAAAATACAGTAAAATTTTTTTTTGGAATTTTCGATGTTACTGAAGAAGTGATTCAGTGAAAATAAAATCCAGCGAATATACCATTTTCCCTATATTTTACATTCAACTCGTCAAAAATCAGTGGAAAAAAAATTACATACAAAACACCGAAAAATTCTTTGTTTGCATCGTCCATTCCATCGAACTGTATCTTAATTTTGTTTAAGGTTTGTCTGGTGCTGGCAAAACCACTGTTAGCTTTGCGTTGGAGGATTATCTCTGTTCTAAGGGAATACCAACATACGCCTTGGACGGTGACAATTTGCGTCATGGTCTTAATAAGAATCTGGGTTTCTCGCCTGACGACCGTGAAGAAAACATTCGCCGTGTAGGTGAAGTTGCCAAACTGTTTGCCGATGGAGGTATTGTGTGTCTCACTGCCTTCATCAGTCCCTTCAGAAAGGTAAGTATTTTTTCACACTGATTTGTCACATGTGTTGTCAAAGCAATGGTAGGTTCATAATACTATGAATAAGGGTAACTATCAATCCTTGGAACTGAAACATGCCACTGCTGGTTTATTAGTGTTGGTAATGTACTTTTGTTTCCCATTTATATTTTTCAAAAAATGTTAATTAAAACTTGTAGGCAATTGGAAAATTCCAAAATTAACAAAAATATACTAGAAAAATATCTAAAACTGAAAAAAAAAAGAAAAAGACAGTTCTCTCAATTACATGAAGAAATCATCGCACCCACCCGTAATATATACTGTATAATTTTCGTTTAGAACTTAGAACTGAAGTTTTTCTTGTTTTATAGGATCGTCAGAGTGCTCGCAAAATCCACCAAGAATCGGGGCTCCCCTTCTTTGAGATTTTCGTGGATACGCCTCTGGAAGTGTGTGAACAGAGAGATGTGAAAGGACTGTACAAGAAAGCCAGAGCTGGCATGATTAAAGGTAACCTTTGACCTTCAGAACCTTGCTCTTGTGACAATAGTAACTGTTTTGTTTTGTGGCTGATGGAATTTTGTTATGAAAGCGTCTTTGTGACTGACCTATGTGTTCTTTATAGTAGAAGATATGTTATCAGAAATAGATACACCAAATAATCAATATTTTAATAATAGCGACATTTAATACATGAATGATAAGTAAAATGGCTATTACTTTGTCCTGTTTAGTTCACAATACATCTTCATTTGTCCAAGTTTCTCTGCTTTTTGCTTTGGCCAGAGTCCAAGATTTGTACTTGCTTTGTCTGGAAATACAACGTATTGTTATTGGCTATGATACGGTGAGGTTGGCCTAGTTCACCTGAGACTGGAAAATTGCCTCGTTCCTGTCAGTGTTTGGTGTAGACTGGTTTGACCTTATTTCATGTATCGTAGGTGTTCTGATCAGAACTAGAACCGCGGGTGTCATGACGCTAAAAAGGTCCAAGCATTGGAAGTATGGGATCCTTCAGACTTTTGGGCAGCTTTTTTGGGCATTTTTTTTCCCATAAATATGAGTAAGTTGTGTAATTGCCCCTTCTGAATGCTTCCCTAAAATGCCAAAATTCTGATTTCAAACATGTATGTCTGCATATGGCAGTTAGTTTGCTTATGTAGGGCTTTGCAATCACTGTAATTGCCCAACAAGTACACTAATGTTATATTAACTATAATCATGATTGCAAACAAAAATTTGTGAAATATGCTGATTGTAGTGCAATCTGCATGATGAGATCTGGTCACCGTCTTTCATTTTGTACGACCGAAGCCACGATTCAACAGTTTGTGAATCAAAATTAAATAACAGTGAAATATGCCTAACCACATGTTGTGTTTGTATATTTCAGGTTTCACTGGTATTGACCAGGCTTATGAAGAACCCGCAAATGCTGACTTGACCATTAAGGGCGGCGAATGTACTATTGATGAAGCAGTCAATCAAGTTTTGCAATTACTACAAGAAAGAGTAAGTTGATCTACCACTGAGGATACTACTTGATCCAACAACCAATCAAAAGCTTTTTTTCTGAGGATACTGCTTGATCCAACAACCAATCAGAACCTTTGTTTTTTTAGGATACTCCTCGATCCAACAACCAGTCAGAACCTTTGTTTGTTTTCGAATAGGGCGCACTCAAAATTATCATCACTTGAGCGCTTCAAGTGGATAATTTATGCAAGCAATTTGATCAGACAGTTAGAAAGGATGTTTTTGATGGCTGAAAATAAAAGCAAGCAAGCAAGCAAGTCTGGCTTATGAATAGACGCTTTTTTGTAAACCATGAAATGCTATGGCCACCTGATGTATGCTTAGATGACGACTCCCCTGCTTAAGAAATGTGTTGTTTTGTTTTATTGTTTGACATGCCAACAAAAACTAAAATTAAATATCTATAAAATTTATTTAGAACAATTCTGCACACCAGAGAAGTCTTTTCTATTTTTTTTTTTCTTTCTATCTAATCATTGCTTTTATTTTTTGTTACAGAATATTCTTCCACTCTCTGCCATGGACTCTGTCAAAGAACTCTTTGTGCCGCCTACTGGAATTGAATTGGCTCAGAAAGAAATTGCATCTTTACCAGCATTGGAAATAACCAAGGTAAGAATCACTGCAAGTGGTTAAACTGTGAGAAATTCCTATTAAGAATTTGATCACAAGCAAGAAAAAAACGGTGTTAGCAACGACTCAAAAAGTGCTCGTAAAATTTTCATGATTTTTATGTTTTTTTTGTGTCAAATTCATTTGATATTTAAATTAGATTTATGTTGCCAATACAGATAGTGTTAATTTTAAGCACTGATTGATTAAATTAATTGAACTGCTTGTAGAACAGATGTTAATTACATCACGAATTTCATTTCTGTCAATAATTATTGTAGACAAAATTTTAAAGACATACTTCAATTTACCGGTTCTGCAAATCAAATTTTTAGTAATTTTATCTCTATGACAGTCATTCAATGGTATTTTATTTTATTTTAGCTTGATCTGCAATGGACTCAAGTTCTAGCTGAAGGCTGGGCATCACCGTTGACTGGATTCATGAGAGAAAGAGAATATCTTCAAAGTTTACACTTTAATACTCTCTTAGATGGTATGTATTCACTACCTGCTTACTGTAAAATACTTTACTTTTGCTTGGAATTAATTTTCGCTATTTTCACTGAAGGAATGATTCAGTGAGAATAAAAACCAGCAAACATACCTTTTTCCCCTGTATTTTACATTAAACTCGTCAGAAATCAGTGAAAATAAATTCCATACAAAACACCCAAAAAGTCTTTTCAGCGAAAATTATTTCTAGCTAAAATAAAGTATTTTACAGTTCATCATTAGCAAATATGAAAGTGTGATTTCGATGTCAATTAGGCTACGCCAATGAATAGTAATTTCTTTTCAATTATTCAAAGTAGTCAAGGTCTTGAATTTTTAAACATTGTTGCAAATTTTCATAAATTCATGTTGGGTACGTGCTCAATAATCAAAATTTTTAAAAAGATATTTTGTTAAAAACAACCTACCATATGTAAAAGTTATATACTCTTTGATTTTCATGATTATTAATTATTTAATTTCAGGTGGTGTGATCAATCAGTCGTTGCCGATTGTGCTTCCATTGACAACAGAAAACAAAGAAAGATTAGAAAATCAACCGGCCATTGCATTGATGTACGAAGGCAAACGATATGCTATTTTGAGGTCACCTGAATTCTATGCACACAATAAGGAAGAGAGGTGTTCCAGGACATGGGGTACAGCAAATAAGGGACATCCATACATCAAGGTAAGAAGAAATTAGAAATTAGGAACCATTGTTTTTAATTTGTGGGATGGCAGAAAAAAATATGCTTTACATAGTAATGCACTGTGGATACAGATGGAGGTCTAGCTGAAAAAAAACACAAAAAAAAAAAACGCATTACCTAGCCAGCGAATGAGAAAGATATTCTGCCCAAAAGGTCTGACAGTGTCAATATAAAAAAAATGGTGCATTCCAAATTGGAGTCGTTTTATGTTTTGGAGCTGCTGAGTTGTGTTGGTGACCTCTGAACTTATACCGAGCTTATCAGAAGTCTTAAGTATAATTTATCACCAATCTGATTCCAAACGCCTGATCTGAACGTGACTTGAGTATTTCTGTTGAAAAAGTAGATTAGGATTTAATCAGAACTTCATCCAGATATTTGTTTTCTGTGAATATTTAAAATCCAGTGAATTACTCTTTTTGACAAATCAGTCTAAATAAACACAACAAAATCAGTTCATCGTTTACAGCAAAAATAAATTTCAAAAATAATTCACAATGCCTATCTTGTTGTATACTGTGCTCTACTAAAGAAATTTATTAAACCGTGAAACAAAAGAAGTTTTTGAATTGTTCATGATTGCCATAGTAATGAATGTATTATTGTTTCAGATGGTCATGGACAGTGGTGATTGGTTAGTTGGAGGAGATTTGGAAACATTGGAGAGAATCAAGTGGAATGACGGCCTTGACGAGTACCGCAAAACACCCAATGAACTTCGTGCTAAGTTCCGTGAAATGGAGGCCGATGCAGTGTTTGCATTCCAGCTGAGAAATCCCGTACACAATGGACATGCTTTGTTGATGCAAGATACAAAACGCAGACTGTTAGAAAGAGGTTACAAGAAACCTGTTCTCTTGCTTCATCCACTTGGTAAGATTTGCTTCTAATTTGTGCATATTATTTAGTAAATTTACATAAATTATCTGACAATATTAATTCTTCAACTTCTTGCTTGTGAATATTTATTTTTACCAAAAGAGATGTATATTCTCCCAAACCTGGCTTGTGGTTACTATATGTAGTATGTTGTAGAATTTACTTCACAAACAAAGTAAATGTTGTAGATTGCCTGTAGAGGGCTCACTCACTCATTTTTGAATATTCCCCTGTTTAGCTATTCCTATTGTTATTATTCCTTTTTTTATAGGTGGCTGGACAAAGGATGATGATGTGCCTTTAGATACCCGTATGAAGCAACATCATGCAGTCATGGAAGATGGTGTATTAGATCCAGAATCTACAGTTTTAGCTATTTTCCCATCCCCCATGCATTACGCTGGCCCCACAGAGGTAAGTACAGTATACAGTCTTCATCAAATTAAACTGGGTTTTTCACAGATAAGTGACATCCACAAAATTAAACTCATAAAAATCTACAATATTTCCTGAAATATTCAGAAATTTGAATTTGTATGATATGGCACAGACAATTGTCGGCTCTTGTATGAACTAAAAAGTTCTCATCCTATGAACCTTGTCTGAATTCCCCTTGCAGGTACAATGGCACTGTAAAGCTCGAATGGCTGCCGGTACAAACTTCTACATTGTGGGACGTGACCCAGCTGGTATGCCACACCCAGACGGCGGCAAAGATCTCTACGACCATTCGCACGGACGAAGAGTAAGTACAGAACTATTTATATCAACTATGAACAAAATCAGTTATTGCATACACAGGAAATAAGATCACAAGGATTAATAGAGGCGATTAGAGACCATGTACAAAAAAGATATTGTTCCAGGAGCGAAGATTTTAGTACACCTGATCAGTGTTTGTTCTGTGCCGTAATTCTGAATATTATTTTTTAAATAGGTTCTGACAATGGCACCAGGTCTTACACAGCTAGAAATCATTCCATTCCGTGTAGCTGCATACAACAAAACCAAAGGAAAGATGGACTTCTTCGATCCTGAACGCAAAGAAGACTTCCTCTTCATCTCTGGTACACGGATGAGGAAAATGGCCCGTGAAAGCATCCAACCACCAGATGGATTTATGGGTAAAAAGGCATGGGATGTCTTGGTGGAATACTACCAGAGTATTGCTCAGAATTAATATCGTCGTTCAATCATTCAAAGTTGAAAGGGTGTTGTTAAGAATGGAGTAAAAACCAGATTTGCCATGATAGGAACTCATCACCCTTGAAAAAGACATTCGGTTTCTAGATTTACACTGACATTGTTGCCATGGTTATCTACTGTGCTTTCCTCACTGCATAATAACGCATTACCATCAATATTTTATTTCAATTTAATTTTTATCTTTTGTTAATTATTAATTTCTTTCATCGTATATATTTTTCTCATGCTTTACTTAAACAAAATGTAATCATGTTGCCGCTTTCATCAGTGGTATACGGATGTAAACGGGTGTAAAAAAGAGAGAAAATCAGAGTTTTAAAACTTTTTTTTTGTTTCCTAACCATTTGACTTTAGCGAAAGCGCAATTTTTTTCAAACTTGTAATGCAGGCTGTGCCTCAAAACATGACAATTCAGGCTTCAGGAGCTGGTGGAAAAAAATGTTCTTTGATCCTTGCAACAGTAGCAATTAATTCGATTTACTCAAACATACCCAAACACTTGCTGATTATTATTATGAAAAGTTCCCATTTTTACCCCCACTATATTGGAATCAATAATTGTATTCGCATCCCAGTAACAATTTCTGTACAAGTAAGACCCACCAGTGTGTAGTGGAATTCTTGATCGAATATCAACCATTTAAAACTAGATATTTTATATACTGGGCTATTTGTGAATAATAGTAACTCGCAATCCTTTCGCTTGGTACATGGGTTGTGCTAGATTTCAACTGTTCACTTTTAATCATGTGTAAAAAGCTAGTTTTGAAAATTTTAATGCATACTCAATTTTTTGGTAAGCATATTTGGTGTTTTGGGGGATACTGAACACTTAATAATATTGACATAATTGTACAAGAATGCTGGATTTAACAAGAACCAGTTGTTGTGTTAATATCGTGCCAGGATCAAATAGGAAAATAAAATCGTCAATGCAAAAAACTGTCTTGACTGTTATTACTACCATATTGTACTGTTCTTGTTTGTAAAAAAAGTTATTTCAATCAGTGATTATTCACTTTTTGGTTATTTCTGATATAAAGGCTGCAATCACTTTTATTATGACCACCAGTGTACAGCAGCCAATCAGAATTTATGTTACAAAATCGTTTTATTAATCCTTTGACGGCCATGTTTTTTCCCCGTCAAAAGATTGGTGCCACATTTTCAACAATTTTGAGATAATTTTGAAACAAGTCAACAGTAAGTGGAGGAGTAGCTACCAACCACCATGTTTGAATTAAAGACATCATTCAAGTCAACAGTAACTGGAGGAGTAGCTACCAACCACCATGTTTGAATTAAAGACATCATTCAAGTCAACAGTAAGTGGAGGAGTAGCTACCAACCACCATGTTTGAATTAAAGACATCATTCATGTCATTATTTACTTGCAGCTGTGAAAAAAACAAACGTGTGCGTCGCTGACCCACCATGAGTGATGTTGATGCCAAATTTGATAGAATTCAGCCTTCGCATGCCTGAGAAATAATTGATAACATTAAATATTTATTTTGGAGTTTTTTTGGACAAAAATGATCGCCAGTTGTCATTTTAAATCAAATCACGAAAAAAAATGACATGTGTCAGTGACCCACCATAGGTGATGTCAATGTCAAGTTTGAATGAAATTGACATGTTCAGGTGACGATTTTTGTTGTTTTGGGAAAACACATTTAGATGGCAGTTGTTTGAAGGTTAAGAAAATTGAAAACAAATTGATGTGCTTATGTAAATGGGGTACATCAATTTGTTTTCTATCTGAATTGTCTTTGTACCAACTTTGGTACGGGCATGTTCGAGAAATGGTGATAGACAAGCACACAGACGGACAGGATCCAAAACATAAGACCTCATTCCGAAATTAGTCCAGCACTGTCTGTGTCATCTCTTATCTCCAACATATATGAACCAATTTAATGCAGACTTTGCACAAATACATCAATTGGACAGGTATGCATGTCATCTTGTTCTGCATTCTGATAAAGACATCCCACTCAAGGCCATTTTGTTTACATACGAGTAGTACGATTGTATTGAAACTTCGTAGATAAATAAGACTGAAGTTAACCTTTATATCCAAGATGTGATTTGACTGATTTCATTGAAAACTCACGAAGACGAGACATGAATGATTTGTTCGTTGAAAATTGAGCTAAAAATTTTTTTGTGCGCGTTTCAACATCGATGTACAGATCAGGTTGTAAATTTATATAGTGGGGCTCACAGTTGTGACTGTCGTTTGGTTGCTTAGTGACTACTTTACATCTCGTCTTCATAAAAATAGCATTCGCCATTTTTTCCTTTATTTATATTTATTTTCCCTTTAGGCTACGCTATCAACAAAGTCCAGGAAAGCTGTATGTTTTTCGATTCTACCTGTACTATTTTCTTCTATGTTAGCGACAAAAGAGCTATTGCTTGAAATGTCACTTAGGACAATGATTTATCAAAATTACTATATTTTTTTGTTTTGTCCGTCATTGTGAACATTTTCGACTTCTTTTTAAAAACCGTTAGCTGTATGTTTCTCACATACAGCAAATGTCATTTGGATAATTCTGTCTCAGAATTGTTAATTTTAGTCAATGTTTTTGTTATTTTTGGTAAAATAACTGTTTTCCAAAAACTTGAATCTCCATCAAGACTTGTCTTTCACGGCATAGTATATTCATATTTTGAACATGTTTATAGCTTTCAATAGGTTATCAATAAGTAACCGCTATCAATGTCCCCATACAAATGATGTACCTAGTCGAGATAGAAACAACCTGTAAAGACACGTTGTGTGGTAAGTACTTGTCCTAAATAAATGACTGACTTTGTTTGGCCATGTCGTAGTGACCACCAAATAAGAAAGAAGCAGACACATGTCAGTCATGTACCATTCAAAACTTGATGGATTTTACTGTTTTTATGAAGAGAAGAGATTAATTATTTCTCATGAAAAGATTACCATACACCACACCTCAGTATTGTAATTAATTTATTTGCTTGATAGGTGCCCTCTAGCGACGACGTGTAACGAACACTAAATAAAGGGCGGTAGTCGTCATGCTGTGCATGTGCAACATTTGTGTTGATAAACATTGATTTTCAATGTCAACACTGCACTGACATACACTTACTGTAAAATACTTTATTTTAGCTGGATTAATATTTTCGCTGAAAAGACTATTTTGGGTGTTTTGTATGAAATTTATTTTCACTGATTTTCGACGATTCGAATGTAAAATATAGGAAAAAGGTACATTCGCTGAATATTATATGAAATTCACTGAATCATTCCTTCAGCAAAAAATAGCTTTAAAATAAAGTATTCCACAGTACTTCAGCAAATATGTACCGGTATATCGTCATCACGACGCTATGACCTATTTTTACATTCGATTTCACGCATAACGCGGGATCTCGCAGTGAACGGAAAATGTTTAGTTAGGGAATGACCATTTATTATTCCTAGGGGGGGGGGGGGGTCGGGCAATTCTTGGTGCTTTTTCAAAAAAATCAATGGACCCCCTCATTATTCATTTAGTAAAAGAGGATGCCCCCTTTAGAAAAAATGAAAATATTTGTAACCCCCATCTAAACATATTTTCATGTATTTTTATGTATATATCACACACACCGATATATGACAAAACTACTTGTGAACATTATTTAGTGAGAGAACTTCAGTCTGTCTAATTTGTGGATATATGTTTATCAGATAAAATGTTTTACTATAAACAGTAGAGATAAAACTGACGCCTCGATAAAGCATTTTGATAAATAAACACTACTACAAGCACTACTTTTTCGGCAGATTTCATTTCTGTGAAGTAAAAATACACAAATTGACATATAATATTTTGAAATTTATATTAACAGTTCTATTCACCTGTCTGAAGAAAATCCATGTTATAAATTAGAACAGTCTCTTCACTAAACAAGGTTATGCACTCAATGCCAACAAATCTATCTTCATGTATTTTATTGATCTTTTGCTACATGGCCACCATTTTTTTTCAAGGTGAGTCATTTTAATAGGTGTAGGACTAGGTGACAGTGGTAACGATGGTAGTGGGTCCAATGCCACTTTTCTTGGGTGTAATAAGGATGTTGTTACTGGTGATAGCAGTGGGGCTGTGGTGTACGTGGTAGTGATGATAATGTCACCAGTAATCGTAGTGGGTCTAAAACCACTTGTGTTGGTGGCAATGATGTTAGTTCTTGTGATGGTCTGTTGCCATGGTTTAAATGGCAGTGTAGATGAATTGTCAGCTTTAATAAGACCTGTTTTGCAATAATGGATACTTATTTTAATTATATTTACACATATTTCAAACACAAGAGATTTGCATGTACTGACATTTCATGTTTATTTTTGTGATATATATTATTTCACATCTGTTAACAAAATACTTTCTATATGTATATTTTTATTTTATTATATTTAAATATATTCAGTTTATTTATTTTGTGATCAATTAAAAAAGGCGTAAAGTAAAAAAAATTGTGTCTCAATTGTAGCGTCTATAAACCCGTATTCCAGAGCCCTGTGTGTTTTAATAGTAGCTCATAAAAATATCCATAGATACATATGCCGATTGACGATTGACTGAAATAGCAAATAAATAAAAGAAACAATAAATATCATGTCTCATCTCTACACTAACACATTTTGGCATTATAAATTGACAATGCAATAAGTGGTTGACTGACAGCGCCATCTAGTGGCGAAACAACTGACGTAATGCAGCAAAAATATATGCCAGAAATCTATCACTAACCATGGAAGGTACTAACGGAAGGAGCCACGACGCTATTGTTTTAGCTTTGCCCCATGATCGTTTGTCAATGTTTATTCACAAACATTGTTCTTGTTAGCTTTTAGCACCTTCGTACAATGGGTTACGCTAATCTCGAGCATTCGGGTAATATTCGGAGCATGTTCGGAAGCGATAGTCGAACCTCGCATGTACAATATTGAAAAACAAATTTTAGTTTGAATGCTGTTGTTTCCGGTTTGTGAAGTCAAACGTTCATCTGTTGAATTTCCGGTTGTGAAATACGTATTTTGACTTTTCACACCTAAACAAACTCAGTGCGCACGTGTGATAACCGTAGTTTCATAATGCGCATACATTTTATGGTCACATTAAAAATCGGCGAGGTTATATCATACTCCGCTAACTCGTTACTTGTGTAAACAATCGCAAACTATCATCGACATCAAAGATGAGCTAGACAATGTCCCTATCAGGATTAATTTGGGTTGAAACAAAAGGAAATAAACCAGTTAAGAGGTTTAAGTGGCCACTTGATAGGCGTCGTGGCTCCTTCCGTTAGTACCTTCCATGCACTAACATATCAAATAATCACTTAGAAATCACTAGGCATGCGTAATCTGTGAAAATATCATGAGCAAAAATGATGTGAAATCAGTAAAGTACTAAGTGAACGGGGTTTAAAAGCACATGTTATTGCATCATCGGTAAATAAACATTTCATGCCCTCACGCAAATACATGAATTATCACTCAAAAACGCAATCAAATGTTTCATACCGTATTTGTAGATCTTCCCAGGCACAATCGACCTCAGTATAGTCGTATTTCGGAAGTTTCTATGTTCATTGAATACGATTTTGACGTAAAAGTATTTGAAGGTCAATAACTACCAGCTCTCAGGCAGCAGACAGCGTCTGTGTCTTCGTTATCTACTGCCTCCAAAACAAAGTAATAAATGTAACTCGAACTGTAGGTGGCGCTACACCGTCAGCTAACAAAGGGCACATTTATGTGAAATATAAGATAGGGCTATAGAGCCTAAAATAACATTTCGGTGACAATGACTAAGTAAAATAATAAAGATCCGTGGTACATTGTGGCCATTCCAGGATGTAAACTCGTTCTTTCAAATAAATATATACAACATTAGTATATTAGGCCCATTTTATAT